TAATTATTGGAGCCACGGGTACAGTCACGAGAGGGTTGAGAAAATATTTGGAACTAATTCCTGGTAAGCACTCCATAGATTCACTACAAAAAACAGCTATCCTGGGAACATCACACATACTACGGAAAGTGCTACAGTGCGAAGCTTGAAGCCTGAGTGGTGAGGTGCATCACTGGTTCAAGAAAAGGAATACCAGGAAATAAACCTGTGACAAGAGATGATGATGATTATGATGATGATGATGATAATAATAATAATGACAACAACAACAATAACAACAATAATAACAACAACAATAATTATCTGGAAAATATACATGGGGCAATCCAAAAGTTTCCGAAATTTGAATTTTGCGCACGAATGGTTATGAGTACATCGAAATACCGCTAGGTGTCTCCTCACACATCCTTCTTGAATCAGTGTGGCAAGCAGCGTCGAGTTGAGTGGTTGGGTTTATTGTTGGTGAACGTATTTCCATTGTTGTGTTTCTGTGAGTTTGCGGTTTTGTGATGGCTGACCTGAGAGAGCAGCATGTCTGTATAAAGTTTTGTTTCAAACTTGGGAAAACCGCTGCAGAAATGCGCCAAATGTTGGAGCAAGCTTTTGGTGACAACAGTTTAANCTTGGAAGTCTGCAGGGAACTTCAGCAACAGCTTCAAGAGGATCCAAACTTTCTTTCGAAGGTTGTCACTGGTGACAAAAGTTGGGTTTGTGGCTACAACCCTGAAAGCAAGCAGCAATCGTCGCAATGAAAGAGCCCTTCTTCACCTCGGCCAAAAAAAGCTCGACAAGTCAAGAGCAACATTAAGTCCATGTTGATCTGGTTTTTTGATACTGACGGGATTGTTCATAAGGAGTTTGTCCCTCCTGGTCAGACAGTCAATAAAGAGTTCTATCGCGATGTTCTAAGGCGTTTGAGGAGAACATGAGGAGAAAACGTCCAGAGAAGTGGCGCACGAATGACTGGGTACTCCACCATGACAACGCACGACTGCATACGGCTTACATTGTGCAGGAATTTTTGGCTAAAAACAAGATGGCAGTTGTTCCCCACCCACCGTACTCGCCAGACTTAGCTCCATGTGACTTCTTTCTCTTCCCCAAGATGAAAATCAAGTTGAAGGGGTGAAGATTGATTTGATACAGTTGAGGAAATTCAAGTGGAAATGCAGATGGTACTAAACACACTAACAAAGAAAGACTTCCAGGACGCATTTGAAAAGTGGCAGAAACGCTGGGAGCGGTGCATGCGCTCCCAAGGGGACTACTTTGAAGGTGATGGTGCAGAATAAGATCTAGGTGAGATGTAATAGTTTTTATTAATATATTTCGGGAACTTTTGGATTGCACCACATATTTGTGGGAGTTCACACTTGAGGGTATTCATATTTCAAGAAACAAGTGAATGTTTCAATGGTAATACAACTTCACTGAATCTCAGAATGGTCTTACCAGTGCTAGTTACATTGAATGCCATCACACCGCCAATGCCAGGGCTGATGTTGCGGCGGCAACTGTCTGAGCTGCTGGAAAAGTGAACCACCCCATCCTGTGCCTCTCGGTACATAAAGCAATACCGGCGAGGCCCTCTAGAAGATCGACTTAGTGGAGTCGTGATGAGATAGTGGGTTCCATTGTCCTCCCAGCGCCCATGACAAGAATACACTGTCAAAAATTCAGTCAGTTAAAATGTATTTTGTTACTGCATTAAATATGTGTGTGCTTAGTTTTGCATTTATACACACTCAGAAACATTGTTACTAATAGCTGAATTATGAAATGATACAAGCTAGCTGCTGAAGGTGAGCCTGGCAGCTGCACACATTTGTGGATTGCCCTCCATCTGAGTTGAGAGACACATTACAGACAAAAGTTAACAAGTAATACAAATATTATGATGTTATGAATTTAAAAAGGTGAAATATTAAAATATACTCAGGTGAATAAGAACTACACTGAGGGGATTATATATGTTGTATTAACTACTACAGAAGCCAACTGAAAATGCTGCATAAGATTATAAGATTCAGCAGTCTGTGACATTTCAAAGTCACTGAACAACCAGAGGCTGTATGTAATAATACTCAGAATAAAATATCTCGTTAATGTGGGGAAAACAGTCCAAGGTTTACAAGAAAGGCTCTTCCTCCCCACTGAAATTATGAACAAGAAATTACTAATACCAACATTTTTTAACTACAGCCTTCTAACATCTGATTATGATCTCTACCTAAAGGATGATGTATAATTTTTTTAAGAATTCATTTATAAAAAAAGATTGCATCATGTCACCTCTTGGGAGTTAATGCACTGAGTGCAGCTATCCTGCCATCATTAGAAGCATGTTTGAGACTGATAACACCAGGAAGTGAGTGCAGAAAATTTTGCTGAATTTCCAGAATATCTGTGAATCTCTTTCCCTTGAAACTTCAGATTCAACTCTGAAAACAAGAAGTGGAGGGAGCAGTGTACAAAGTATAAGGGGGTGAGTGAGAGCAATCATTTTGTTCTTGGTCATTGGACAGATAGTGAAGTGCGAGTAGGTACATTTTCATGCTGAGGCAACCAATATCAGGCTAACCATTTTAACATAATGATCTTGCAGACTTGTACAGTGGGAGCAACACTTGCATCACTCAACAAAGGGTGCAGAAATATCAGATAATAATAGAAAAAAGCACACTCCCATTATTGTCTTGCATGTATTCTGTTGTATGATGTTTTGCAGTCTGTTACCTAGCAACACTGTGTACATCCACGTTACAATACCAATGTTTGTTTATATGGAAGTGAAATACATTTAGAAAAGAAAATAGGCTCAGAGATCAATAAAAGAGTACAAAATAGTCATAAATTTTATAAAATTATGAAATTAATATTGTGAAACACGAGAGATCTCAGAACAATGCAAAACAGCAGACTGTAAGTATATTTTAATCTGATACTAAACATTTGATATTGAAACATAGAGCCTTATGAAGCAAAATAAGAAGAAGATCCAAGCAATTGGAGAAATTCATAAGAACCACTGAAGGTAAAGAGGAAGGAACAGAATCAGAAATGAAATTTTTAGAAAAAATGTTTGAATTCAAGATTTGTTAATAGAGTTAAGAGAGGAACTAGTACAATCATCTGGCCATGTAAAAATAAGAATGAATGAAACACAGATAAAAGGAAGGGAATTAGAATTAAAATTTAAAAGAAAGAGATCTACGAGTATGGGACTATGCAGAACAAGATGTTTCAGCCAAGGACTAGAAGACATAAAGAAGGGAGCTAAGAACTGGCATGAAGTCAAAAAGGATATAGTGTGGGAAGAGAGAAAAACTGGAGAACTTTCATCCATCAACTCACATAAAATGGAAAAGATGCTGCCCTCAGTTTCTGCACACATTTTGATGCTGGGGCCATGACAGAAAACAAAGAGGCATTTACATCCCAGTATCAGAGATAATGTCTGCAGTCTTACTGGAAATTACACTCCTTCTAGTATATTACAAAACTAAGGCCACCTTTATGTGTCCTAGCTATACCTGAAACTACATCAGCTGAAGTGCACTCAGAATGGAATTCCATGGTGTCCATAGTACTGCAGCCCACCACCAAAGTTGTGAAGTCATCCTGCTCTGCACAAGGGTTAGGCAGGAGGCCATCCAGATCACGGGAAAACCTCCTCTGAAGGCCATTATACTGCATGAACCATTGCATGGATCTTACACTACGGGTCAGCACACCAGGGCCCTGGTACACAGTCTCAACTCTTCTTCTAAAATCTAATTCTTTGTATGGAGTGGTTCCACCCCTTGTATTGCTCTTTGATTCTGTGTTGTGGGTATCGATATTCTGATATAGTTTCGACTTATCTGACCTCTTGCGTCTTGCAGACCTCACTAATCCATCATCTCGGCTAAGTCCAGTGACACTAAATTTGCCCAAATAGGGGCATTGTCTGGGTTCTGGTCGTGAAGCTGGAAACATAAAAGTATGAAATTAATTTAAACCCTGATCAAATCCTGCTACATCTCTCTGTTGTTTAGCGCATTATAATCATGTTCTGATATTTGTGAAAGTAACATTAATGTATATGGTTGATATTTTTACACTGTGAATTATGCAAGAAGAGAGAGAAATTTAATGTGGGCTGTAGGAAGGGTAACCCAGAATCATAATTGTCAGTGGCAGGCCTGAGGACTGCCAAAATTTCTTCAAGAGAATGACCTTAGAGGTATAATAGGGTGGGGGCAAGAGAGACTGAACACTAAATTACTCATGATTAGGCCAAGGTATGTCCTTTACAATAAACCATGTATCAGGAGGAACCTGGCCACTTAGAAAATTTTACAAATCCGGTCAAGAAAACCGAGATTAACGGCCATGGGGATCCTTTGTGCTGACTACATGATACCTTCTATCCACAAAAGTTGGCACTAAATTCGCCAACAAGTGATGGTCACTCAGTCGGTATAGTTCACTTGCAGACTACATTCCACAGAGTTTGTTTTGTTTTATTACATAAAAATGCGTACATACAAGATACAGTTGTCCACATGAATTATCTGTCCTTTTTCATATCTCATTCTGTCGAGGTTCATTTATTAATGATACCAGTACAGTGATGGATTCTTATTTCGTTTGGCTGCCTGTATCACCAGCTTAGGCCTACGTAGATACTGAGAGTAAAACCGGATTAAACTCAACAAAACAAAGTAAAGTCAAACAGTATTATTTCCTTAACATTAGTCTGACCTGATGCTAATTTAAACTGCGTTGTGATGGATCCAAGTGTGGGGGGGATTGTGTCACCTGGCCTGCACATGCCTCTTTTACTGTCTGATATGTCTGGGAAACCATTCAGCTGACAGACAAGTTAGAATTTTCCTTACAGACAACATATGCATAAAAGAAATAGGCAATGAGTTAGTTAGTTAATTACTGAGCCGTCAGGGTTCAGTTCAGTGCAACACAGAGAAGTCTAATGTAAAATAGAGTGCAGTAAGTGAGCAGTGGTGTTGATATGAAGTAATATGTGAACAATCTAACAGCACTTCTAAAACGGTTTGTGGAAAAACACTAGAACTATGTGCTTCATGTGCACTCTTATTACACATATTGTAACATGTATTGATATGTGTAGGAGCTACTGTCCCACCAACCATATCCACTTATGTGGCCTACAGTTTGTATTATGATGACTCTGTGTTAAACATCGCTTTAACTCTTACTACACTGTACAGAGCAAAAATTATTTGTCATTGTATGTATTTCATATTATGTACTAATCTTTCTATTATGTACAATCTTTATAAACACTTTTAGAGTTTAAATTTGACTTTATATAGAGTATAGTAAGGGTTAATATTTACACTCTGAACATTAATTTCAACAAAATCCAACCAGTTCTAGAGATGAAACATGCAGACAGAATGATGGGTAGAATCCTCAACCTATGCTCTTATTTCTTTTTTTTTTTTTTTAAAAAAGTAAGAGGAATTGTATCAGGTCACCTTGCTGTCTGCCTGCTTGCCTGCCTGTCTCTCTCTGTCTGTGTGTGTGTTTGTGTATCTCCACCTAATTTTATAAGGAGACTTATGGGATCACCTCACTGTCCATGTATATGTGGATCCAACCCCCCCTTTTTTTTTCTTTTCATTTTCTATGTGGTTAATGCCATATTAAAGAAAAGTAGGTGATTAATTCTTCCCAGAACTTTCTGTTTCAGTATGCATCAATTTTATGGGCTCTGTGTAAAGAACACACCAATTCCAAGCTGAAAGTACATTATTTTGATGGAAACTGGGCTCCATCTATCTCCCCTTACTAGGAATCTGAGTGACCACTTTACTTGCAATCTGACCATATAATTTGAGCACATCCCCACCACACTCACATTGAACCTGAAGATGGAGTGAATATGTTTTTTGAAACGTTGGTACCCATTTACAAATCACGCAGTATCACAATCCCCAAAAACTAAAATCTAAAAAAATTCTGCCACCCTTACTGCACAGTGAATTCTTGCCTGTACTTATGTGTTTGTAAACAAACTGACAGTATGACCACAACTGAAAGTCATACTCACTGACTAATGTAACGAATGGCAAGGTGTTCCGGTCAAAGTGCGTGGACTGACATGCATCCTCTGGTCTCCTTGTATGGGAACCTGAAGCACAAAATAATCACACTATAATGTCTAACCAGAACCTGCAATTGTAAAGGCTTCACTGTATTTTAAATAATATTAACAACATTGCAAATGTGTCTCCTATTCAAGCTGCACGTTACTCAAATGCATTTCTTGCAATTTTGCATACTTCTTTGGCTTTGATGTTCATTTATTGTGTGGGTAGATTGAAACAAATTGATGTAATACCAACTGTATCAGATACTGCATTGCACAGAGTCAGAAATTAATTTTTGTTGTACTCTTTTAAATATTAGAAATAGATTTTTATTTGTTTCATTCTGGTCCATCACACTAATATTATGAAAAAGTTAAAAAGTTCTGTCCAGTGTGGCTGGTTAAGATTTTCTTATTTCAATTATTCATGCTGTTACATGTTTCAGCTTTCAGAGACCATCTTCTGAGGGACACCTTTATATCAATAATGGCTTCTAACAGTATTGATGTAAAGGTGTCCCTCAGAAGATGGTCTCTGAAAACCGAAACATGTTAGAACATGAATAATTGAAATAAGAAAATCTTAACCAGCCACACTGGACAGAACTATTTAACTTTTTCGTTAGAAATAGAGATAAATTCTTCTTACAAAATTGTGCACAACTGATTTTGTGAGCTGTCTTGGAGAAATGTGAAGAAAACTGATCAAAGTTTTACTTAAATTATGGTTTATAAAGAACAGATATGGACCAAAATCAAATTTACCTGACAACTTTTAGCATATATTGATCCAATACCAACAGTTCATCAAACCAGAGAGTAGGAGCTAAAATATGCAGATTGATGAATACAGATGACCACTCCAGTCAGTGTTCTTTTTATGCACTGTGTGCAGTGAACTTATAAATTTCTTTTTCTCCCTTATTCATAATTATTATTTTGGAACTCCTGCTGAAATTACATCACTAAAGTAAAGTCATACCTTACCTGTCTGAACTTCTATGACATGACCATCTCTCCGGTAGAACATCATGCAAACATAACCACTCTGGCTAAAACAGAGAAAACAATGGAAAGTAGTAACACACACTCTTCAATTTTATGAAGTTCATCACTTAACTGCTGAAGATAACTGCTCATGATCTGACAGTGATAAACATACCACATGAAGAAATTCAAGTATCATTTACTCTTAAATCTGTACAGAAACAGACGAGAAACTTAGTCTGTTAGAAGAACCATTGGGGCAGTTTCCTTAACAACTTTCTTAGTTGTCCGTGTTTAAATGAGAGGGTGGGGGATGTTTGAAGATCCTTTAGCAGCACATCCCCTAACGAACTGACTGCTGTGAACTGCCTAACAATGTCAGGGGAAGGTTGCAAAGGGGAGGGGGGCAACTGTAACTTTCTAAATTCCTTCAGCTTGAGCTTAAGTTGTACTGCCAATAATGTGCAAGATGAAACTTGGATCAGAACTTATGGTGACAAACAGTCACAATTATAACATTGTTATTGCTGTCTATGCTGTTGATGATGATCATGATGATGACAACAAGATGGATGAAGTTCCTAATATTAACTGTGATATGTTAATACTAAATAAAACAGAAGAAGCAAAACTTATAATATGTCAGCATGTAATTTGTTGAAAACGTTAACAAAAATATTAGAAAGAGTGATATATTTAAAAGAAATATCATTTAAAATAAAAGTGTGGAAATTGCAGGAAGTGAAAAATGTGGCACTGGTTTCCTCAGCGAAGGAACTGTACTAGCATCTCAGAGATGCAACTGATGTAGTTCAGATATTGCAATACAATGAACACCCGGTTCAGAAGAATGCACTTTCAGACATGTCTTATTATTAGGTAAAGCTCTCCCTATACTTAATTAATTAAGCACTGTGCTATGATGTATGGGACAGTGGCTGTATAGATTCATGTTTTCTTGACCTCGGCACTAGTATCCATTGGTTAGGCAGCTTGGTGGGCTCCAGCACCAGTCGGGAAAATGTGGAAAGGAGAAAAATCTTACCCCTACTGGGGCTCAAGCACTGACCATTTGGTTGTCCAGCTCATACCAGTCACTACACTGACCACACTATCCCGGCTCCGTCTTACTGCTAGAAAGATTCTAAATAATACCGTGTAAGTCAGGGTTTTCTTAAACTTGTACTCATAAGCAGCATTCCCTAGGAGCAAATCTACCAAGTGCCAACCTGACAAAGACACACTCATTCTGGTTGTGTTTCCATTAGGGTATCTGCAGCAAGAAATTATGTTGCCGAAAGCTTTATTTAAATAATACACTAAGAAAAGCACTATGCTGAATACATTACTTACAGATCATGTGTGCATGACTCACCAGCCCATGGTGAAGTGTGTGACGAGGTGCACCACGTCATGGGAGGCTTGTCTCACCTCAGTGCACACTACTCGCATCTCCTGATGCTGGTTGTTGTTACTGATATCACCTGTCAGTCCCAAAGACATGACCACCCCATGGTTATTGTGGTATCTGAAACATTTGGTAGGGTCAAAGAAAGAGAGAAATAGAAAATATCTTGAAGACCAATTGTGCTATAAATTATACATTACACAAATTACGTACCCTTGAGCAGTGGTGCCACTACCAGTGTGCTGGCTGGTCCCTGTCTGTGTTGTCATGTTGGTAATCCTGAGGGTTGTATTGTGCTTGTGGAACGTATAGGAACGCCGGTAGTCCAGTGTGTGCCAGTGCTGGGAGGCTGTCAGCCATAATGGGAATTTGCATTTGCTGGGAGATGCCGCTGCAATGCCAGAATGAAGTTTATTGGCTCCTTGTTACCACAGAGATGTAGACAAATTTTCAGAAGGAGTCAGTTGTAATGTTGTAATGTTCAGTATATGTTATTAGATGCCCAATATAAAATTTCCTCCACCTTCATATCAACAACACTTCACATGTCATGCCGTATTTTCACAAATGAGACACTATGAATTAAGCCATGGAGCAATATAACTATTATATTTGGTGTGGAGGAAATGCTATTAAATGAGCAAAGTTTGTCAATTTCAGATTTAGTTGTTCTATATTTGATGTATGAATCAACAGTATTTGTATAACCTCAGAATGCATATTTCAATTAATTTACCTGAAAACATGAAAACTACAGACAGAAAAATCAAGAGAGTGTCCTGACTGATATATGAACTTGATACTTGTGGAATACAGGCCAGAGTCAACTGAACTGATGATGATGCAATCTTCTAATGTCCCTCACTTCTGTGGCTGTGACTAGGTAGTAGTTACTGAACGTAATTTTCACTCTACAGGAACAAAATTTTGAGCGAGGAGCCCCAGTAACCATGCGGGAACTAAGCCAAGAGTGCTGCACATACCTCATGCCAGTCTGTAGTAACGTGATATAGGTTTATATTTCCTTGGTATGGCCCATGAAATGCTCAACATTCAACAGCATGTCAAACAGCAAATTCAGAAAATTTTACTCAACTCAGAAACTAAGCATAAATAATTTGCTATATTCCTCATAGACTTACTTGTTTTAAAGCGGCCTCCGTAGTCTAGAGGTAACGTTCCCACCTCATGACTCGTAGTACGCGGGTTCAAACCCGGCGGAGGTAGTGGAATTTTTAAGGGCGGAAAAATTCAGGGAACAAGTCCTCTGGAAGGGACTTTAAGCCGTGGGTCCCGCGTGGTAGCTTTACGGCATGTAAAAGAACCTCATACCTCCTAAGGATGTCACTGAGCCAAATTCAAGGACATTTCCTGCCCAACAGTAATCTCTAACCCTCTGATAGATGGGGGAAGCATTATAGATACAGCCAAGCCAGTAGAGGCCGAACTCGCTGGCTTGGTCGGGACTGATGGTAAGCACCAGTATCGGTAGGGTATAGAGACTGGTAGAATATCATAGAGGGAAGCACAATAGATCAAACTGGTCGCGGTGCATGGGGAAACCCACCCTCTCTAAATGACTAACTAACTAATTGTTTTAAATTATTAGGTATGACTGATTACATTACTACGATTGTGGAACATAAGATTCATTCATGAGAAGTACCACTTCAGTTCTGTGAATGATGATGGTCATAATGACAGGATTACTTTTATTTTATAAATAAAATAATAATTGCCTTGTATTTTTGAGCTGGGACAGCTTAGTCGGTATAGTGACTAGATTACCTGATGGAAAACTGAGGAATTGGGTTACAATTTCTAGCAGAGGCAAGGAATTTTTTTTCTCCATATGTTCAAGACTGGCTCTGGGACCCAACCGGCCCAGGGGTGTAGAGGCAGGGTGTGAAGCTGATCACTGACCTCCATCTAGTGCTGAGATTAAGAATGGTGGAGTTACA